AAGATCTTCTGTCTGTGGGTCCGCTCATAGCGAGCCGCTTCCCCAACAGACCGGCCAGGGTTCCAATCCGAGGTTTTGTTGAGACCTGAACGGACCCAAACATCATTTGTATATACATCTCATGCAGACTCTTGATGAATAACTCATATGAAGAAGTTTATTGATCAAGAGTCTACATGTTTTCTTTTTTCAAACGGGCTGTGAGCTGCCAGATCCCCACCCTCCTGCCAGGTCACCACGTTGCCACTTGCTAATTTAGAAGTCTCCCCTTTTGGCCTCCAGAACCAAGCATTGCAGTAGAATTTGGGTGGTGGAGCTTTGTCACGGCTACAGAGGTTAAGTGACCTTATAGGACCCTACAGGGGTACCGAACTAGGATAGTCGAGTTCGGGTTCTGACCCACCTCTGCTGGCCAGGAAGCGATGGGATGTTCAACAACTTCCCCATCTATTCCACGACGCCGCCCGTCAAGCGAAGAGTTTCTGTCAAGAGCGCCTTCAGCGCTTGGCGCGCGTCGGGAGGGGGGTGAGCAGCCCTGTCGATACCGCCCAGTTCGGTACAGTTCGAAGATGTTTCTTTGTCCCACTGAAGTTCCTTTTCACTGGAAAGAAACCTTAGGATCAGACCATTCCCTAGATATCCTGGCCCATCTATCTGGCCGTGGGTTACTTGGCCCAAAAAGACCCCGCGCTGGTTTCAGGCCGCACCGCGAAGCGCCCCGTGGAACGGACTCAGTGGGTTGGGACCTTTTCGGTGCAGATGAGAGACCAGAGAGACGATCCACTCCATCTGAGAGACCTGTACCAGGGAAAAGGACCGGACCAAGTGAAAGCTGGGAGGGGGGTCGGTGGGAAGCTGTGCAGGTGGTCGGACCGAGTGGTCGGAGCAACGCCACCCGGATGGATCGGGTCGTACCTTCTCAGAAGGTAGAAGGTATGACTGGACCCTCCTGGCACCTACATAAACAGTGTCTCCCAGGAGTTCACAAATAAAGGGGTGCCGGACGTTGGAGGAAGTCGGGGTGCTTTTGTCACATCCAGTCACTGGATGAGACTCAGTTGGGTCCAATCACCGTACCTGACCAGGTACCACTGGAGTTGCACCCCCGATCTACGGAGGGTCCGAACTTGGCACCCCCGGCGCCGGCCGAAAGCCTCCGACACGGTGAGTCGGGGTGTCCACTTTTGGGCGGGAGTGTCTGGTGCCTTGTGACTCCTGGCGGAAAAAAGAGGGAAAGAGTAAAGAAACATGCCCATGATATGAGGGAGATCAAGACTTGGCGAGTGGTTTCTTTCATACCTTGTGACTCTTTAGACGGAGAATATGGGTCCAAAAGCCCCAGTTCGGGATGAACGGACCATGGCGTCACTTGACGTAGCGTCACTTGGCGTTGACTACGTGGCGCCAGTCCATCGCGCCCCACTGGGGCCGCTAGGATCGACGCCGTGGACCTCCGGTACCCCCGGGCCGTCACTTGCACTCGTGTCACGTGTCGTCATGCAGCTGGACACCGAGTTCTGGACAGCGTCCGGTGCAACATCAACCTTTGGATCGTTTTCCAAAGGTGTTGGGCATTGAACCCTAGGGATCCAAGTAACCTCCTCAAAAGGTACTTGGACCCTCCAACCCCACCCCAAACACCTTCTCAGAGGGTACTTGGATCCTTAGGGGAAGAATGACCAACACCTTTTGGTGTGTCCCGTGACCGCGGAATAGCCTGTGTCGGTAGGACCATCCTGGTCGGGGTTGTCCTGGACTACCCGACTATATAGGCTTCCTGGATGGTCCAGGTAGCCTTTAACATGCCTTTATAACCATCATCATCCACAGGGCCCAGTGAATGGGATATACCCCAACTCTTGACTGGTGAGACCACGCCACCGAAGCTTACTCCCACCGTCCCGTCGTCAGTTTGGGCACCTTCCACTGGTCGCACCGGCCACGTCTTCCCGCTGACTTCAGCGCTTTGTCTTCCCTCTCCCTGATTCATCTTCTGAAAACGGTCCCAGGGCAGTTCGCAGGTCAGTTTTTCCTTCCAGACTATAGAACCATAGGCATAGACCGAACGAGGGCCCGGTTCCTTATTATAGTGGGTTTGCGTGGGGATTTACTGTCAAGGAAGGTTGCACCAGGAAATGGAGCAGGAATGCTAAATCCATACAATCTTGGAGAAAACAATGAGTAATTTCAGGGAGAAACGATGTGAAACTCTGACAATCTATCAGTAATTTAGTGATAATATAGTTTTAATTTGGGGCAGTAAGTCTGCCTTGGCCAGAGAGAAGATCGCCAACTACAGGCGCATTCGGGCGGCTGCTTTTGGGTCTCAAGAGTGGGAGGGGAGTCGCCATGTCGGCAACTGTGCTGCCCATATATCATGGGCCTGCTGGAAGGTTTCCGCTCACCAAAATGTACCGGGTTGACACCCATGTGTTGTGGAGCATGCAGCCTGCTTTCGATGAAGTCTTTGCTTTGTGCAGGAGTCGGCACCTTCGATGCATGCGTTTTACTGGCAGAGTTATCCTAGGCTTTATAATAGTATAGCTTAGACAGATCGTTTAGTTGCTGTTTTTCCACCTTTCTCCTGAAGCACAGCCCCAACCAACCCAGGCAATACTTGAAGACCTTGGATGGTTCCCGGGGCCGGCTGGAAAGGCTACATGTTTCAGTTTTTGGTCTAAGACCAAAACCTTTGGCTTGGGCAGTTGCTGGTCAAGATTCAAGTACGTTTTACCTGCGATCCCTCCTATGATATTCCCATTGGCCATCACACTCCAGTGGTGCTGGCTTTTCTCCCCCAGCGTGCGCCAGGTTTGCTCTGAACGGCGGAGCCGCAAAGCACGACTGCAGCCTCAGCTGGTGCAAGACGCACTACTCCAGGAACAGATTGATGAAATTGTTGCTCCCACCGAATCCTTTGCTATGCAACTGCTCGATTGGAGCTTTGAAGAACAAAGGAAAAACGGAAAAACGCAGACTGCTTCAAAAACTGTGCCACTGGGACTGCAAACTATCAGAAACTCATTGTTCACACATCTTTCCACCATGCACCCCTTTTCAAGCTCCCACAAACACGTTTACTATGCAATTGCTTTTTTGGAGCTTGGAAGAACAAAGGGAAAACGCAAACATGCAGACTGCGACTGCAAACTGTGAAAGAAGGACTTGTTTCCACATCTTTTTCCCAACGCGCCTCCTTCATTTTCTTAAATAGCCACTTGTCACAGATCCTAGGGCTCAGCAATGCCTCCGCGACTGGGTGCAACCGTTGAGCACTGGGTTGGTTGACGTGAGCAGCATTACTGTTTGCCAGGCGCAAGCACCAACACAGAAACCTGCAGTACTTTCGGCTAGTGGCAGCAGCCCTTTTCACACATGACTCCCAGTTTTGGTTTCTTGCCAGGTGGCCGTCCCAGTGCACGAAGGGCGTGTCCAGCTTGAATCCGCTGCAGCAGCGCCTCTTCACCAGACTTGGTGGTGGAATTCCTGGCAAGCATGGCTAGTTCAGGCTTTGGATGCTGACAAGAGGCTTGATGAAGGTAATCGCCTGTTCAATTCGCACGCCAGGGCCTTGTAAACCAATTGTATGGCAGTGCAAACATGAAAACCTGTGTGCGCAGTGTTCCACCACCAGTCTAACGCCCTTACCTCTGACGCCTAGGCTGCCACGCTCACAATTGGTGAGTTCTTGCTTGCGCTGCTCCACCACTGGAGAGTCACAAACGCAGAGGACTCCAGGACAACATTAGCACACGTGCTGGACATGTGCATCACCAAAATGGAATCAGGCTATGGGCAGTATGGGCGAGGCAGCATGGCTGCATCGGCGGAAATCCATAGCGCCCGTGCTCCACTTGACCGGTCTTTGAAGGAAGCAGTTCTGTTCAAAGTCATGTTGGGGAAGTGCAAAACCATGGAAGACGCGCTGGAAGAGTCAGGGGTGAGCAGACACGCTGCCATGACTGTCCACCAGGCCAGATTGCTTTTGTTGAAATCATTCTTTATTAACAGACGAGAAGTTGTTGATAAAGACCTGCTCAAACACTTGGGTAGTATCTAGCGCAAAGAACTCACGCGTGTAGGGCCATGTCTTGCGCTGGCACAGGATCATTTGGCATGCTACCTGCGCCGGTTGTCCATCGAATTCGAAGGCGCGCAATACTTCCAGGCTGGCAAGCGCTTCATGGGTTAAGATGAGTTCGGCGCAGGTTGTTCATCGCTCACAGGTTAGGGCAACAAGTTCTTGCGATAATCACTGTCTGGCTATAGCTTCCAAACCCGCTGCGCAGGTGCTTTTTGATTGTGGACAACCCACTCCGATAAAGACTTTGTTCGCAGCTTGCTGGAGCCCAAACAACCAACTTGGAGCAGTTCTCCCTATGCAGGTGCACCAAGCCTTTCCGCATAACATGTTGCCAGTGTAGGAAAGTGTTGCAGGTCTCAGGTCAGCGCTTGCCATGTGAGATGTCCATATGTCCACCTCACCCTTCCACGCCGACACAGGCAACTTTCTCACTTGTCACCTGGTCAACTGCCTTGCATCTTGCTCAAGGGTGTGCGACTGTTGTGGGGGGCTGCGCTTACAGCATGGCAACAGGAGATCCTGTAGCGATAGCCCGCGCCTTCCAATGGGCGAAGGCTCTGCGACTTGCAGCTGAGCAATCGATTGCTGCTTGCATGATTGAAAAGTCAGCCATGATGGCTGGCCCAGGATGCGACACAGAGTTTTCTGGCGGCGCCGCTGGTTGGGAAGTTGCTGCCCAATGCATTCACCACAGCTTTCTGGAACATGGGTACGAGGCCAAGTTGCAGCCACTCAGTGCGTGCGAGCTTGGGCTGATCACTGATGAGTTATACTCATGTTGTTCATGTGGTTCCTGTTACTGTTGCAGCGTTGCGAAGTGTTTTTGGGGGGTTGTGTTGAGCACCTGGCCATTGGCCGTAGCAATCAACTTTTTCTCTTGCGTTCTGCGCTTGCCGGTCAGGAAATTGATAGGAAGATGCAGGCGGCATTGTCCCGCAGGCTGCCGGCCAACACCCATGTATTCGATAACATCATGGACATTTTTGGGGATGGCCGCGCCTGGCAGGCAGCCTTTATGCAGAAAGGTTCATTTGCAGAAAAGGTGCACATGAAGAACCACGCCCCGTGCGTTCGAGAAGCCTACTGCGTGGCACACAGACAAATGTGCCCGTTGCAAACCTTTTGTTCAGCCCGTGTTGGTGGGACACCATGCCAAGACTTTTCCATGTCGGGCAACCGCCTGGGGCTGGCAGGCCCTCAGCTGCCACCTCTGCTAGCATTTGGCGCCAAGACGGAAGCCTTGCGCACCCCTGTGGTGGGGCTCGAATGTGTTTCAGAATTGCCAACGCATGTTGTCCATGATGCCTTTGGCCGGAACTACGACTGGCCTATGGCCAACAATTTGCGACCCAGCAACGTTGGCTTCCCTTGCACCAACAGGTTGAGGCAAGCCGGCAAGCCCCATCAAATCCAAATGCAGTGCAGCACGCATGGTGTTTGGTCAGAAAAGTGTATGGCTTTTAGCGAACCGCCACACAGCCACGAACCTTGTTTGCCAGGCTCTACATGGGTGGTGTGCGCGCCGACACTACCACTGTCTTTTTTGACCCCAACCATCTTCTGGACTACACGCACCATCTCTGCCAAAGAGAGCCGGAGTTGAGGCCATTGTTTTTGTCGTGATGTTCTGAAAGCAATTGTAGTGAACAGCTAATCTTGGAACGCCCATGCATCAGTGCGTAGACGACTGAGGCCTCGATCTTTGCTGGTCCTGTCTACGGATGAGCATGTGCAGGAAGATGTGTGGAACTTAAAAGCAGCGCGCAGGGCATCGCCCAATCTCTGCAGCGAAGGAGCTGGCTGTTATTTGCGAGCAGAACTACAACGCGGCCGGGCTTATTGGGAAAGATACGAGAGCCTGCCTCCAGATGCGCGGCGCAGCCCGTGGGACCTAGTGGTCCACGTGGGCGACAACCCTGCAGGCACTGCAACTTCAAAGGGCTGGTGCACATGGTCGGCCAAGAGCAATGCCTTGCCCACAATCCGCCGGCGGACGGGTCTATATCTTGCACTGTGCCACAACCGCCATTTGCTGTTGCGGGAGCTTTTCCTGAGCATGGGGTATCCAACATACCCTTTGGCCTCTCAGGTCACAGGGGTTCCACAGTACAGTGTCTTCTTGGATGGGCTCACATATTTCGATTCCCTGCGGTCTCTAGGCAACTCTTTTCACGTTGCGCAAGCTGGAACGGCCATTGGTTCTCTCATGTTGTGCTGCCAAATTGGCCAGCGGAACTGTGTGGACCCTGGGCGCTGAAAGACGCCTGATTGCGCTCACATGGGCTCTTCATTCATGTCCACACTCGCAAATGTTGGTACTGCTGATCCTAGGTTTGGGCGAAGTTGGTTGATGTTCTGTCATGTTCTGCCTTTCTCCCATTCAAACTTAGCTTCGAAGGCCGTTGGTAGCAGTGTTGCATTTGGTAGGTGTCATGGCAGCTCCACCGCCTCCGCACTTGGCTGGCCCACCAGCCCCTCCACCGCAAGGCCATGCCCACGCAGGCGGAAGCGCCCCCCCTCCACCAGGAGGCTTCGGGTGCCCTTCACAGGTGAGACAGGGGCCGCCTGTTCCACAGCTCTTCGCGCAGAATGAACAGCAAGTTCCAGGCCCACAGTATGTTGTGTCGCGACTCTTGTTTCCGGCGCTGCCCATCGTTGAACCATTGATCAGCCAAACCTGGCCAATAAGATTTCTTCCTACTTGTACAGTTTGCTCATTAGCGCTGCCACGTTTGCCGCTTGACTTTTGCATAGTTTTGCTAGTTATGAGCATGGGTTCGCAGGCGGGCGGCAGCCTGCTGTGCGACTTCCACCACAAGCGGCAAAAGCGGCAAGTCGCGCCACAGTGGGCGGTTGCGCCCAGCCAGGTGCACGACAGCAGCGCCAGAGGACCCCGACTGCGGAGACCTTGAATGCGGCTGACCTCTACCAGTTTCCCTTGAAGGATAAATTGCTAGCACTGCATGAAGCTGACCCAGTGCAGTGGACGGAGCCTGTCTTGAATGCCCTGACAAACGACGATGCGACTGATCCTTTTCGGCGTTTGGATGGAAACTGTTGGTTGGTTCATCAACGCCTTGCCAGCTAGATCTTACGTTTTGCTTTCAACTCTAAGAAGTAGCTTGAGGGTTGGGGTTGCGCCTTCCGAGGAGGTCCTGGCTTACCTTCTCGACATGGACCCGAACAGCCGGCCCAAGGCGACAGACGGTTTGCGCCAGGAACTCAAAGCCACGCTCTCATGAATAGGGTCACGCTGATTCTCAGGCTCTTCTGGGTGTGGGTTGTTTTCTTTGTTTAGCGCCCAGGCCTCACCTACAGGAGTGGGCTGGTGGACGAGCACACCCGCAAACGACAAAGCGCAGAGATCCCGCAATGCCCCTTGGTTGACACTGAACACAATGTTGGTTGAGAATGTGTTCGGTTGACTGCCATGGTACTGCTGGTCAACAGGTTTGGGAGGGCAAAAAATAGGGGTGAATGGAACATTACAGTGAAAGCTGTCTTTGTTTGGGGTGCAACTAAGACAGCAGCAGCCAAGTGGTAGACTTTGTTCGCAGGGCACGAGCGGAGAGGCAAAACATGATGAGTTCGCTGACCATTTACACCACGCCGCAGGGCACACAGGCTGTGAGCAATGGCACGGAACACAAATTTCTTCCCCGCGCGTATTCACCCTGGGTGCATCAAGCTATGCTTGATTGGGGGCGACATGGCCTTGCCTCCCAGCACTCTTTGTTGTTGTTCTGGTTGGGGGGGGTGGCCTTGACTTGCGCTCTAGAAGATTGACCACCTAACCAAGGACCAAGCGGCCTTACGCAACCAATGGAGTGGATTCTGTTTGGATCGAGGATTACGTCACTGTGCCCGCAACGCAAATGAAGACAATGTTCAGCGCCCGTGGGTCTCCTGAGCCGTTTGTTGCTCCAAAGCAGGAAGCTCCTCAGCCTCAGCCAGTGGCCCCGGCCACTGCAGTGGCACTTCCTACGCCCAGCCCTGCAGGTTCATTCCCTGAAGCGCGGCCAAACACCGACTCACAGGCTGGGCGCCCCAAAAGTAGGTGAGGCAAGGAAGACTTACAATGAATGTTCTGAGTTCTGCCTCTTTGATTTGTAAGAACTTGGGCCACCCGAAAAAACACCCAGTAAATGTTTTTTGAGAAGCAGCTAACCAGCGTTGTGTCCCTAGACTGGTAACTTGGTGACGTATCCCACAAGTTAAACGCTGGACCCAGATTTGTCTACTTGGCAGGTGGTGCCAGCCATGCCAAATCAACAGACTGCAGCACCACCCTCACCATCTGCCATATCGCTGAAATCTGACAAGTCGACTTGCTTCGAGCATGGCGTGATCTACTTGCCTACTGGGCAGCCGGTTTTGGCCAAGCACTCCGACCCAAACAAAACTGCGCTGCTGCCTCAAGCTGCGGACTATGAGATCAGCAAGAGTGCAGCGACAGGAGTCGAGACTGTCAGCAGCCTCTCATTGGGAACTATGGTCACAGCTTCTTGATCTAAAACTGTTATGGTGTGTTTTGGAGAGAATGGGACTGCTCTGTCATTCCTGTTGAAGGATAAGAAAGATGTTGTTCAGCCACAGAAACGTCTTCAATCCCCAGAAGGTGGGAAGATCTAAACAAACGTTGTCTTTGTCTGGGCCCCGCAGCAACTTGAATAGAATATACATGACCAAGAGGCGCGTGGCCAGTTTTCCAGGTTGCCTCTTTGTTCTTGCAGCAGAGCCCGCCTCTTCAGCGCGGCCAGCCTGCTCAGCGCGGCCCACCTGCTCAGCCAGCTACTGGTGGCACTCCGCCCCAGGCGCTCCAAGAACCAAGCCCCAAGAGGCTAAAGTTTCAAGACTCTTGGCTACTTTGAGCATGTAAGTTATTGGAGCGCTTGGGAGAAACCAGTGGTAGGCATGCGGCATGTCTAAGCAAAAAGATGACGCTTGTCTTTCTGGTTAGGTTTCCAACGCTTCTTCGGGTGTGTGGTCGTTGCAGGCCCAGGCAAGCAAATCAGTTGATGACTTTTCCGGGTAGTGAGCTACAGAAAAATACCTTCAGCTAGTTCAGTTGTGAGAGGCAGATGACGACCTTCCCGTGGACCCTGAAGACTCCCAGAAGACTTTGGATTTGGGGTTCTGGGATCCTTGGTGACCACAGCAGTACGGTTTCCACACATCTTCCCCGACTAATCCCTCTCTAAATTCTCTTATTTTGTGGTTATCCTGGGGTTACTGAAAAACCTCCCTGCCGCTGGGCTCCCCTCCAGGAAAACTAATTTTGGATAGTTTAGGATAGTTTGTGTTTAGTTTTGGGTAACCCACAAATAAATTTGAATAGATTCTTGGTATTCTGGTGGTCGCAGTGGTTCCAGCTCAGCAACACAGGACGATGGCAACACCCACGTCAACTATGACCCTTCGCAGCCACCTACTGCAGTTGGGGCAAATCTGGTTGGGCAGGCAGCTCAACCACCCAGTGCGCCACAAGGGCTGCAGCTGCAGCCTGCACAGCCAGCTCCGTACACAGCTGGCGTTCCCCACGCACCACAGCATGTGGCATATGTGGCACCAGCACACATGGCACCAGCACACATGGCACCAGCCCCTGCAGTTCCACTCACAGCACCAGCACCAGGTGGAGCGCAAGCAGTCCCACAACCCAGCACTGCACCTCAGCAGGCTGCAGCCGCATACACGGCACCAGCGGCATACACGGCACCGGCATACACAGCGCCAGCGGCATACCCGGCACTGCAAACACCTCCAGCCACGCCGCCTCCACAACAGACAGCAGCACCAGGCATGATGCCGCCGCAAAACACAGCAGCAGTAGCAGCACCAGGAGGGCCGCCGCAAGCCCCACAAACGCTCAGCATTCCACACCTGCAGCCAAGCCCAGCAAACCCAGGCATTCCACTTCTGCTGCCACCGGAACAGCCACAAGCCGCAGGCGTGCCACCTGTGCAGCCAGGCGCATTGCCACCAGCACCAGGTCAAGCAGTCGGAGCAGCTCCAGCAGTCCCAGGCGTGCCACCTTTGCAGCCACCAGGACCAGCCCAAGCAGCCACAGGCATGCCACCTTGGCAACCAGGTGCACAACCAGAGCCAGAATCACATTCTGTGCAACCAGGCACGCTGCCACCAGGACCAGCCCAAGCAGCCCCAGGCATGCC